GGCAACATCCTCCTGTGAGTTTGTCACACGTTCCATGGAACATCTTACAATTTCTATTTCAGGTCCAAGGTTCAGTTGCTGATGCAAAAGAAACCAACATGGCAAGAACAGAAGAGATCACGTTGAAGGAAATAGAATGTCCAGTATGTTTCGAGTACATGTCTCCACCCATCATGCTTTGCAGAAGAGGCCATAATCTTTGTCACACGTGCAGAAAAGATATTTCAAAATGCCCAATATGTAAAGAGAAATTCATCACAAAGAACCTGGCTCTTGAAGAGATTGCTAACAAGATAAAATTGCTGCACAATACCATACCACAGCCCAGTAATCATCGATCACCATACGATCTTCTCGATGAACAACGGACCAAGATTGTAATAGCTGAAGAAGTTAGCAGGATCATCCTAAGAGAAGTCAAGTGCAAAGTCTGTCAGAATTATTCTCTCTCTCCGATATACTTCTGTGTCAATGGGCACAGTACGTGTAATGCTTGTAAAAAGTGCAGAACATGCGCTGGTCCCGTCACGAGCGGGAGAAATTTTGCTTTAGAGACGATCGCCAGAAGTGCAGAGTATCAATGTCGATATAGAGATTTTGGATGCGCGTCGATCCTAACGTTACTGCAGGCTCAACACGAGGACGAGTGTGAATACAAACCAGTAATGTGCCCACTGTTTGACGCTGTTGGGGTCAGATGTTCCTGGTCTGGTATAAGTCAAGATTTCAAATTTCACGTGATGCACGAACATGTCTCATGCAGGGTATTTGAGGGAACATTTATAAGCCTGAATATAAGGTACAGCTCAAACACCGTGATATTTGCGCTAAATAAGATGTTTCTTATGTCCATTCTAGTTAAAAATGGGGCAGTCTTGTATAGGTTCAACTTAGAAGGTCCTGCAGATGACATTGACAAATACAAATGTGTAAACAGGTTACTGTCAGGTGGCGATGTAATAACCACATTCGTATTTTCTCCTTCTCCGAAATGGAAGGAATTTTATGGAGGAATTTTTATGGATTGTTCAAGTCCTACGATAATGTTAAATGTTTGCATCCAGAAGACGTAGACATTTTCGTAGCCGATAATCGCTGTTCAAAGATAGGGAATTTGCTTGATCTCCAAGAAATCAGCATTTATTCTTTAATTTAGAAAGTCCTGGGTTTGAGGCTCAGGCTGGAGCTTAGCTGTCAAAGGCAGGCGCTCTGATCAGTCTTTGTAACACGTCTCATTATTACATATGAATTTATTCATATCGAAGTTAATGGTGAAGTTCTTGTCTTTTACTTTTAGAACTACAGTACCGTGACCCCTGACCCCCGCGTCGAATGAAGTGGATCCACGAGTGCTATGCCATTATGAACCAGAACACTATGCTGTTCAAAGTTATTAATTATCATGTCTTGTAAGTTTTAAAAATGATTCCATAAAACGAAACATAAGAGTGTGTACATAATTCTATACAGCACATTAACCTCTGATATGAACCATGTTTGTTGCCTCAGTCAGTAAACAGACTGGCAATTTATTCCCAACAAAATTGTAGTAAGATATAAGTAAATAAATGCAGTAAAGTGCTCTTGAGCAATCGGCCACATCAAAGTTGGCTTGAACATTTTGGAGACCTACTGACTCCATCATCGGGGTCAAAATAGAGGGCAAGACCACAAGTCACTGATACATATTTTTGTATCTGTCTAGCCTTGCACCGATTTCTTTACGTCACTTTAGCGGGAAACATTTGTAGTGGCAGAACACAGCATTGAATTGGACCACTCTTTAAGAATACTGAGACAATAATGTTTACTTCATTAGTTTAGCGTAATTCCTTCCTTAAATGCATGAAGAACGAGATTGTCACAGAACTGTGGGGGAACAGGTCATGTGTTGGCAACACTGAACCTGCTAACACCACACACTTGCATGAAACGCACATGGGAAAGGAGAAAAATGCCTTTCAAGATTTAAACAGAAACTCTTAAGGAAAGGGTTGCTTGGTAGATGTCCGTGAAATTGTCAGGATAATATTAAAACGTATTTTAAAGAAACAATGTGAGAGTGTGTACTTTATTCTTTTTAGGTTTAAACGTCTTCGAATATCTGTCGAGGGGGCCAACTAATTTAACTGTTTTGCAATCTATTTATCGTGTGTTTCTACCAGAGTACAGCAGATGTCTTCATTTCTTATTCGAAGACGAAACGTGACGTTTAAAAGAAACTTCAACAGTCGATGAATAAACAGAGAAAGCAGATATTAGACGTGTCTTGCCACGAGTATGATTTCAGTATGACACTGTTTTTTCTCCACGAACTTGATTCGCATTGCTCATTTATTTTGTTAAAGATCAATTTCGTTTTCCGTGTTGATATTTTTCTTGTACAAGGGAAATTTTTTTAAGTCAACGTCAGGAAATTTCTGTTGGAACAGCACTGATTCTAACTCAAGGTCTGAATATTTCATTTCCTGAGGTCGTTCGTATTGTGTGGGTGAAGACACTGGACCAGCTGTTGAAGACGAATACAGGTATTTCATACAGCCTATTAGATTTAACAAAAAAAAAAAACAACACAAGATCATACAAACACAGCGTGGGTCATGACTTATCTCTGAGAAGTTTTTAAATACATTTCTGAAAGTAGTGACTTTCGTAGGTGATGCAAGGAAGCAGATACACTCAACCTTTTCCAGGTTGCAGAAGTCTCAGTGGTTTACATTTTTACAACAGTGTTATCTGTTGCTTTAATTAAATTACAGTAATTACTGTTGGTTAGGTTAGTAACGTAAAAACAAACTCGGCCATAACATTACGTGGTCATCATATTGAAAGTGCCTTTTCGTCTTAAAATTTCGTGTACTGAGTGTGATATTTTGGTAAACACAATCCGTGAATTCTTAACGTTATACAAGTTAGAATATTCTGTGTCAGAGCTAATGATGGTACATCGCGTGATGACTTTCACTGTCTAATAAAATCCCGCAGCTTTACCGATTTTACGTTTTAATATGTCTCCCCATTTGACCTCTTTCCTGTAAGTTTCCCCAACAAAACTTTATGATGTATGTATGTGTCTTCTGAAACTTACAGAAACAATTATTCGGTTTTTGTCCGTCTAATCACAATTCATATTTAAACTTTACAATTAAGATAATTAAAATATCATTTTATGTTCCTCATCGAACAATCGATTTACAATTGGAACATCTTTTTACAACATGTTTCGGTTTCTATATAAACCATCTTCAGGTGTAAAAGTTAAAATTATAAACTTAAAACTTAATTACAATTTCTGATATGCAACTTTTTGGTGATGTTCACTTCCAGATTAATTTTTTTATATTGGAGTGAATGTTTTTTGATGTCCTACATTCGGCCTGTAATACAAATGATTTAAAGAATTTAAAAGAAATATTAATGAATATGAAAGAATTGTTCGATGAGGAACATAAAATGATATTTTAATTATCTTAATTGTAAATTTTAAATATGAATTGTGATTAGACGGACAAAATCCGAATAATTAATTAAATTTCACAATATGACGCAACCATATCATCTTACAGAAACAAATTACGCGGTTTGACCTGACATGGCTGAAGGCAAGAGCACTAAAATAGTGAGTCTGAAGGACATTGCCCCTCACCTTACGTGTGCACTGTGCACTGAACTCCTGGCAGACGACGTCACAGGAATATGTGAGTCCGGGCACACATTCTGCAGATTCTGCCTGTCACGCCTCGACGAATGCATAAAATGTAACCGCAGATTCGTAAAAGATGCGCGCAATTACATGATCGAGAATATGGCGGAAATTGTGAAATACAAGTGCCAGAACTACTACTTCGGATGCAAAACCCTACTCTCAGCAGATCTTCTTGTGAAACACAACTTGACCTGTCGACGCAGGGCGGTCAGCTGCCCTCTGGAGCAGATTCCAGAAGTGCTATGCTGGTGGAAAGGATGCCTTTCGGAAGTTTTGGATCACGTGAAGAAAAATCACGGAGACAGACTCACAAGCAAAAACTATTTCAGATGTCCTTCGTTGGAATCCACACACTGGTTGACGGAGTATAAAGGAGAACTGTTCCTATATTACAAATACATCAAAGACGGCGAATGGAACGCTTGTGTACAGAGCGTCGGTCTCACAGAAGACGAGTTCAAAGGCGTCTTCGTTCTGAGATCACACAACGCCAACAGCAATGAGGTAATTGAAATATCTTTTGTTGTGCAGCTTATTACCAGTCTGGATAATGTGCACAGATCCGGTAGATGCCTTCTGTTGGATCATATAGTAGTTAAACAGTTTATTAAGAATAAACAGATGAACATGATGGTCTCGATTGAAGAGATCCTTAAGCGCTAATTGGTGTTTATTACTACAACGATGGAGGCGATGGTTTGATTAGAACAAAAACATTTCTTGACAACTTCAGCTTCGGTTGGAGCATAACGGACACGACAGTCGTAATTCTCATCTTTTACTGTACCACGTGACACAAACAGACAGAACTATTTGTAAAAAGAGCATTTTTCAGACAGCGCGGATGTACTATTATCGATCACGTTGCAACTGTGATGAAATGTCTTTGTGTGTAGCTTGTTGCTGTCATTGGAGTACAGACGCCGCAATCAAATACGAGCTCTCAACAATTTATTTTGTTTTTAATTATTTTCAAGGTTCTTGCGACATTTTTCGTGATGTACGATTTCCTCAATTTATTTTATAAAAAATGTTCCATACAGCTTTTCATGAAAAATGTAATAAATATAATGCAATTCATCCGTCTTGTGATGATGGTGGTATTTGTATCATAACATTCCTTATTACACGAAGGACACATTCCTTGTCCTCCATTTCCCGTAACATCCTTCAGTCTGCACCGTCCTATACCTCCTCTGGCCTCCTGAGAACACGCTTCTGTGCATACGTTCTGCAATTCATTGTAAATATTTTCTCTCTTTAATGCCAGCTTCTGTATCCGTCTCTCCAACATCCACACATTCCTCACATCGAGTCTTTAAAATTCGAAACAGAATATCTCTTTCTGCAGACTGACGGTCAGTGACCTTCGACTCTCCTTTCTCGCCGTAAAAATTACTGGCTGAATGGTACAGGATGTCCCATGAGTCGCCTGAGCCTATTCCCTGTTGAAGCGAGCGTATGCATCATCGTCACGGTGAACGCTCTGAATCAAAAGTTTGAACTACAGGGTGGGTGGGAAGTAAGTAGACATTAATAAACGCTTTGCATTGGAAATATAGAGGTTATAACCATTTCTCAATGCCTACTTACTTTCTACCCATCCCGTAGTTAAACCATTCAACATCCTAGCTTGCGTTCGTTTTAATATGGTTCTGTAATCGATGATCAGAACTTCAGAATGGTCTTCCACTCACTGTTTGCGACTAATATTTAGTATTCCATACACTTCACACCTCCACCCATCTTATCCTTCTTGATTTTATCACCCTAATAACCTCTGATGAAGAGTACCACATATGAAAACTCCTCATCAAGGCATTTTCTCCAGTCTGTTGCTAAGCTGTCCTTTGTAGGTACAAATAATCTCCTCAGCATCCTCGATCTATGTCCTTCAACGAGTGGAGACGGCAGATTTTACAGCCAACAAGCAGAAGGTAATATTTTGCTTATATTCACTTTGACATTTACCCGAAATATCTGGCAAAATACGTAAAGTATGAGAACATTAATTATTAAAGGCAAGACCGAAATTATACAACCTTTCAAACACACAAGTTACGTTAAAAAAAAATTCTCTACATCGTCATAAAACAGTAATAGTTCTAAAGAGAGAGAACATGAAGTGGGTAATGAAGGCGAAATTAGTTACGACTTTTCTAGAATTGACGGAAACTTCAGCCGACACAAAGATAAACTAAAAACGCTAGGCCTGAAAGTCAGAATATACAAAACCATGCTCCTCTTTATGGGCTGATTTAGTACGGTACTCTGTTGAATGACTCATATTTATGTTAAATGATGACGACTCAAACTACGAAGCACAGAGGCGAGTAAGCCTAGAAAACTACTTACATTGTCAAATGGTGTAGATCCCCTGGTTTGTTTATAAGTTATTATGCTTTAATAAATAAATTTCGTAGAAAAAAAAATTGTATTATGCATTCAGTTGCGATCTGGGGGGTCCTTCAAATTCCATGATAATTGATTTCAATGCTGTTTGGACACAGGTATTTATCAGGTTAAATACAGCTTTGAACTTTGATGGTGGAGGCCTTACGATACGTGATTTTTTAGCCAGAATCAAATCACTGGCTGAATAAACACAGCGTTTCTGAAAAAAAAAATGGTGTGCAATCGGGCTGCAGCACGAAGAAGGGGCAAAGGCACAAGGAAAATAAGGGAAAGAATACGTAAAAAACATAACACACAAATAAATTACAACTTGAGCCAGGAATAGTTTGTGGAATTTTTGTTTTGAAATTATTAATGGTAATAGGGATGTTGAGGAGGTTTAACGTTAGATTCTAACGAAGTCTAGAACTGAGGATTCGAATGCTGAGATGTTATGTTTTTTTCTACATTTCTCTATGGATGCGAGAGCTGGACTCTTGATTCTCCAATGGAGAAAATAATCGAAGCATTCGAAATGTATTTATATCGACGTATACTACGAATACCCTGGGTGCAAAAAAGTCTCTAACATCCAAGTTCTCAATCGCATGAATAAGCATGCCGTTAAGGAAAGAAATGTCCGGTATTTGGGCCATATCATGAGAGGAGTACTCTACGAGATCTTAAGACTGATCATGGAGAGCAAAATCCAAGGGGAAAGATCCGTCCGTACACCCCAAAACTCCTCGATGAAAGACCTAAGAAGATGGTTCGGATGCCCCTCAATAGACATCTTCCGGGCGGCAGTCTCGAGGACAATGTTCGCCCTGTGGATCGCCAACCTTCGTTCGGAGATGGCGCAGTAAGAAGAAGAATAGGGATGCGTTGAATTTATAAATTTATCAAGGAGTAATTTCCTTGGGCATATTCTAACGCACTAACGAAACACTATAAAACTGTTCCGCCTTGTTTTCGATTCTGAAAGCGCCCAAGACATCGCTTCATGTCACCACCGACGTACACGTCTCTCCATTCAACACGAGACAGTTCTCCAGGTCGGATCGTGGAACAACTGGCAGGTAAGGAAAGGCGTTCACGATTTCCGGCATTAAGAATCGTGCCCCGTGAGCCTTCATTCATTGTCCTATTTATGCAAAATAATGCAGTATATTAAGCTTTAGATTTAAAATTATTTAGAAAAGAATTTTAGTTAAAGGATACGTTTCCAAAACGAGACTTCCCGGTTGAAAGTTGTACGTGCATACAGTTTTAATGACGATTTTATATTCCTGCTATGAAGAACTTTCAATTTATATAAAAAAAAATGTATTAATAAAATATCATGGAAGCAAGTGAGTAATTTAGGATATTGCATAACAAAATAAAAAGTTTGAGATTTATATACGAGACTGTCTAATAGCGAACGAATGTTCAAACTTTTAAAAATTGTTTCGAAACTGTACAAGTTCAATCCTCATCAAGAAATTCTGATTACTAGCAAGTATCGAAAGCTTAAGAAATAGATCTGAAAGCACAGGTGGAGTCAGGACTGGCATGTGGTCTGCTATAAATGATCAAAGGTTCATTCATTTTTTTGGGGCTACTTTTCTGGGAGTTAAACCCAAGGAAGTGCTAAAGTAGAATTTCGACAAGAAGAACAATTTTTGATAAAAATATAAGACTTTATATCTTTCATTGAGCTTTGCGTTAAGTAGCCTTGAATACAATTTAACAACAGTTCTATCATTAAAGTATATTTCAAAAAATATTTTTTACGTATTGCCTTAATAATTACAAAATAATACAATAATTACTAATGAAGCAATCTAATAATTTTTTTTAAATCAATTAAATAAATACTCAATGTTCTAAAGTCAGTATGATTTACATTTTCGTTTTAAGTTCCTTGGAGAACAAAGTTTTAATGAGTGGTTCTGAGTGAATCGCTGGATATTTGTTTCTGAAGTAAGTACAGCAAAGCAAAGCTGTCCAATTATTCGCCATGTAGGCGCTTGGAGGAGAGGAGGTATAGTTCATACTCATATTCCCCATAATATGACAAATGAAAGCTGTCTGCATCTTGTACTTGTAGACAGCCATAAAGTCATACAAATTATAAAGCTATGAGAACTGCATTAGAGCTTAGTTCCTTCATACTTGAGTAGGAATGTTCTTTCGCAGATAAAATGATATTAACAGAAGGTATTAAATATTCAGGGAGACTTAATTTCCTTATCGTATCCTTGTAGCATAAGCTTCGATGTTTTAGACAGGGCAATTTTAATTCACCTCTAAATGTTACTGACGACTATTTTTAATTACTACTAATTTTTTTTGCATTTCTTCATTCGTCCGTCCCAATCCAGAGGGAAGCATAATTACGACTGAAAAGTAAAAAAATTTAAATTAGTAACGCTAATTTCAAAATTGCTTTTAAAGATATACTGAAAACTGTCTATGTAGTAATCTTAAAACCTTGTATACCATGCAGTGTTGAAAATTCATCTAAAATATATAAAATCATGCATACAAAAGAAAATTGTTTGTACCAAACGCGTTTCGACCTCTTGATGTCATCTTCAGTGGCAAAAACTTTATTTCATCGGCCCATCTATTAAAATCATACAATTCATAAAGCGATGGTTCGTTATAAAGCACTGAGCACAAAGCTAAGTAGTATCCTAATATGAGAAATGCTAGTAGAGAAATGTTTACATTTGCAGTGGACAGTCCCAGAAACAGAGGAGCTTAAGATGAAGACTACTGCTATCCTTTTCTCTGTACTCATCTGTCATTTTGTACATGACGACGACGACGATGACGAAAGTGATACAAATGTGGAAGAGGAAGACACAGGAGCAGAGCAAGAAATAGAAGCACATCTGGAAGAATCAGAAACAGAAGGAACTTCGTCATCGAGCTCAGAGTTGCCGGAGATAGAAGGCTTAGAAGGAGTACTATGGAGATTGAAAAACAATGTCCCGAATCATCAAAGTCAGATACCGCATTTTACCAGCGTAGAGGTATACCAGTTCCCGGATCTGAAGTCGATATCGGAACCTCAGACACCCGAACCTGAGTCTGAGGTTCTTACAATAGAGAAGCTAGAGGAGCCAGGGTCGTCGAAAACGGGGTCGAAGTTGAAAAGAAAAAGACCGATTACCCCAGCACTGAAATTGACCGTGCCGGAAGGCGAGAGGGGTAAAAAAAGAATCAAGAAGAAACCGGTAAAGTATCTTGTTCTTATCTTCAAATACTATCTAATAGAATATTTTCACTAGCAAAGTGATACAGATATTTATTCCCACGTCCATTGCCTTTGAGGAGTAATCATACCGAATTTCGTGTTAAAGTTATTTTCCCCTCCCTTCATATTTTACGGGAATGCTGCGCCATATAGTCTGCCAGAAGTTTACCAACATTTCAGAGGTACTTGCTGCCTCCATCGTCAGAGCGATCGGTAAATGTGAACCAGACTACACGGCGCAACAACCCAGAAGACATTTATCTTCGAACTCGCCGCCGTGAAAAACCTAAAATCCCACATTTACAGAAATGGCTATGATTTCGATGACTGGTTTAACTCTCAATCAGAATCGAGATATCGATTTCAAATAAAATTATTTATGCTAATTGTTAGTTCTGTGGTGCATTTATAAAATGTGGTTAGTCAGTTCGATCTGTTCAGACCCATTTAATTCTCAACCACATTATTTTCTCCCCTCCACCGTAAACCACATACAGTGGTCTCTCAGGCACGTGAAATGCACGTGCAGTGCATAATATGTGTGAAATATGAGGGGAGTAGACAATCAGATCAAGCCCTATATTTGTTTGGTTGTATGGTAGTCCTATGCCAACAAACAAACAATAAACATTTAAAAATGTTAGAAACTTCGAATTTCTGAGAGATCAGTTAAGTGACAGCAGAGATGTCCGCTCATACCAAATATAATATTAAATACAGATGAAATTAAAGCAGACCACACGCGTTGTTTCGTGTTTAGTGAGGTAAAATAATGAAGATTTTAAAAGATTAATATTATAAATTTGCTTTACGGTAAACATACGTGGGCATACTCGTATTTATATTAGCTTGGAATCCTTCACAGGAATGAGATTGAAAAGAAATTATAGGACAGAAAGTCGTAACATATAAATTCTGAAGAAATCAAAACGTCTTTATCACAAGCGAACAGGTCAGGATAATCTAATGGTAGACATACAAAACAAACTTGATAACAAGGGCAATTTTATTCATGAAATTAGACACCTACCTCCTCGCAACATGCTGGTTCTGGAGGTTGGTTATAAACTTCAAAATTATATACGGCTAGATTTATACATTCTGCCTGCTATCTCCACAGGTAGAAGAATCTAAACCGGGCAGACTATCAGTTCCTGGTGGCCACGCGACTCCTTCCACATCTAGGCAGCCCGACCCAGACCCAGACCCCTACCCCATCCCCATCCTACCGACTGCCACCCATTGCCCAGTAAACAACATCCCAAATATGATTTGCCTTTGGTTTGGAACTAGAGATGAGTTAGCGGCACACATGGAGGGTGTACACTCTGATATTATGGTAAGTCTTAGCTTCGGATGCCGGGCTACTAGTACGCACACGTGAGGGGTGTACACTCGGATCTTATGGTAAGTCGTAGCTTCGGATGCCGGGCTACTAGTACGACTATGGCACTAATACTCTACAAGGATGAAGTGTTCCTCTATTACAAGTTGATTACAGAAGATAGGAATTGGCACATATTTTTACAGAAAGCTGGTATCACGCAGCAGCATTTTAATTACAGTATCACGCTTAGCACAGGTTTGCCAGTAAACGATAGCATCAGCACGTTTTCCGTGAGTGATATTTCAAATCAGTTCGAATGTATTTACAGAAATTCTTTTACATGCGCGGAATGGTCTTTACAACATTACATATCAGGCAACGAAGTGAACATGACGGTAACAATAGAAGCTCGCTCTTGGTATTAAAACCTTGTGCCCCTCTATCAGAACATCGGACTATCTACTGTATGGCAAGCGGAAGTAGAACCTTAAGTATTACAAAAATTCATTTTACTTCTAAGGCCTTTTTTATTTTACGTAAAAAAATTACTGATGTAACAGGCCCGAATATAAGAACTGTATTGACGTCCAGAAATATTAACCAATGACTCAAATTGTTTTTTTGACAATGCAAATTAGTATTTTTAAATCATCGTAAAGTGTGTTTTAACTGAGAAATGACAATTAATTTTAAGTAAATTAAGAATCTGAATTTGATACGTAAACTTATTTTACGTGTCTGTAGACTACTTCAGAAACAGCACTTCCATATAAAATGTGTACAATACTGACAACAGGTAAAGAATCTTAAGTGCCAAAAATTGAGTTTGATTATTTTGTGCATTAGTGTGAACGCAGACCTGAATGTTAAGCTCAGTGTCTTGAGTGAAGTTAATCACACGAACCAGGACGAAAGCCTTAAAAATGTTGTTATATTCTTATTAGTAGTTTTTTTAAGATGTCATTAAATGTGTTTTTATTGAGATATGACATTTAGTATTAAGTAATAAGAAACCCAGGATATGTTAAACGTAATTCAATGAAAAATGTCACATCTGTTAGTAAGACCTTAAAATTTCCATATTCTGCAAAACTGCAAAATGTGTTTCAACTGAAGAACTCGCAATGTTAATTCAAATAAAGCGACGGTTTTGATTAGTTTTGCTATTTTTATCTGTAAACTTAGTCATGGGCAATACTTTTGTATCGAAAGATGAAAAAGACAATTTATTAAATAAATGTGTTAAATAAGTTCAGAAACAGTTACTTGACATTTGTACAACATAAGAATACCTTATTTGTATGCACCTGCATTTGTCATTCCGTTCAAAATATTGTTATAATCCTTTGGCGTATCTCTTGTGCTGTATCTGTAATTGGCCTTCTGGCTGTTGATACAGCACTCTGACAACAAAGAATTTAAGAAAAACTCGATTGTTTAAAGCCATTATTAAGTAATAGCATAAACGAATATATCATATTGAATACTATATGTAATAGTGTTAGTAAAGAGAACCATATTTGCGCCCTGGATGGCAGGTGTTCGTATAAATTTTCAGCTCTTGAAGGCTACTTTGAGGTGGACACAGCTCGCAAAATTTTGCATCTGCAGGTAACCATCGTTAAACCAACAGGACGGTCACTAAACATTACCATTGCAATATTACATCTGCAGTCAAATTTCGAATAATAAGTCGTCGTGTGTTGTCTTAATCCAAAGAGACGAAATTCCTACCTAAGGATCGCACATTGGGATAAAACCAAGATCTAGCATTTTTGCTTGGATTCTGTTAATAAAGATCCCTTCTATAAGAATATTGCAAGAATACATGTTTTAAACAGGACTAGCGAACCCCAGCTTCTCTTATGTCAGTGTTAACGGAGGAAGAGATGTTTATATTAGTAGTCGTGTACCAGACAGCTTGGAAGCAAGACCATTGTAGCAGCAGATGAAAGGAAAATCTTTTGATATTTTAAATGGAAGTTATTGAGGAACGTATGTAGTATATTTTGTAATAGGTTTTGTATAAATATCTCTATTCTTTTTTATACATATGGCACGCTAACTCAATTATGGCGCTTTTACTGATAATTTTTCATCTTTCCGATGTTCACATAGAATTTTAGTTGCTAGACTAATCGAGAGGGGCGACCAAATTCACGTAAAAATATAGATTAGAGTATGCACTTTAAGATGAGGCCTGTTTCGTTTGCTAGCTTTTGCTAATGTGTGTCTCGTGAATTTTTTTTCTCCAGAATTATAAGAAATATATCCGTTGTGCAAAAGGAATACAGATTGTGATGAACTTTATGCTTATATTCTTAAAAGATTAGATATTGTTATTCTGAAAATAGAAACCGTTTATAAGAGTGATTTTGAAGAATCTGCGTAGCAATTTTAATAAAAAGTGGGTACAGTGTCACCGCAATAAGAATTTCTTTTTAGATAAGATTTCTAACTGGTTAGATGTGAATCTAAATTTGCCAGAAACATTAGTAGAGCAGATAAAACAAAAGTAAGAGGGATGAGCCATCGACACGTGGGGTCAGGGGTAGGCGAAGAAAACTTTTTCAAGAATGTAGTGATTGAGGAAAACGGAAAAAAATTCAGCCTTTAGTGGAAATTCACTCAAGCGAAGAACTGGTATATGCTGCAAAATATTCTTTACATGCATCTGGTAAGAGAGATGCTGCAGTTATTCTAAAGGGAATGACAGAAACACCAAAAAGGGCTTACAAAGCAGCAGTACATTTACGCCAGAGGAGGCTTTAGCTTTTCAGATAAGTTCGAATGTATTTACAGAAATGCTTTTAGTAGCACGCATTTTGCTATAGAACCTTACATATCAGGCAACGAAGTGAACATGACGGTAAAAATAGAAGCTCGCTCTTGGTATTAAAACCTTGTGCCCCTCTATCAGAACATCGGACTATCTACTGTATGGCAAGCGGAAGTAGAACCTTAAGTATTACAAAAATTCATTTTACTTCTAAGGCCTTTTTTATTTTACGTAAAAAATTACTGATGTAACAGGCCCGAATATAAGAACTGTATTGACGTCCAGAAATATTAACCAATGACTCAAATTGTTTTTTTGACAATGCAAATTAGTATTTTTAAATCATCGTAAAGTGTGTTTTAACTGAGAAATGACAATTAATTTTAAGTAAATTAAGAATCTGAATTTGATACGTAAACTTATTTTACGTGTCTGTAGACTACTTCAGAAACAGCACTTCCATATAAAATGTGTACAATACTGACAACAGGTAAAGAATCTTAAGTGCCAAAAATTGAGTTTGATTATTTTGTGCATTAGTGTGAACGCAGACCTGAATGTTAAGCTCAGTGTCTTGAGTGAAGTTAATCACACGAACCAGGACGAAAGCCTTAAAAATGTTGTTATATTCTTATTAGTAGTTTTTTTAAGATGTCATTAAATGTGTTTTTATTGAGATATGACATTTAGTATTAAGTAATAAGAAACCCAGGATATGTTAAACGTAATTCAATGAAAAATGTCACATCTGTTAGTAAGACCTTAAAATTTCCATATTCTGCAAAACTGCAAAATGTGTTTCAACTGAAGAACTCGCAATGTTAATTCAAATAAAGCGACGGTTTTGATTACTTTGGCTATTTTTATCTGTAAACTTAGTCATGGGCAATACTTTTGTATCGAAAGATGAAAAAGACAATTTATTAAATAAATGTGTTAAATAAGTTCAGAAACAGTTACTTGACATTTGTACAACATAAGAATACCTTATTTGTATGCACCTGCATTTGTCATTCCGTTCAAAATATTGTTATAATCCTTTGGCGTATCTCTTGTGCTGTATCTGTAATTGGCCTTCTGGCTGTTGATACAGCACTCTGACAACAAAGAATTTAAGAAAAACTCGATTGTTTAAAGCCATTATTAAGTAATAGCATAAACGAATATATCATATTGAATACTATTTGTAATAGTGTTAGTAAAGAGAACCATATTTGCGCCCTGGATGGCAGGTGTTCGTATAAATTTTCAGCTCTTGAAGGCTACTTTGAGGTGGACACAGCTCGCAAAATTTTGCATCTGCAGGTAACCATCGTTAAACCAACAGGACGGTCACTAAACATTACCATTGCAATATTACATCTGCAGTCAAATTTCGAATAATAAGTCGTCGTGTGTTGTCTTAATCCAAAGAGACGAAATTCCTACCTAAGGATCGCACATTGGGATAAAACCAAGATCTAGCATTTTTGCTTGGATTCTGTTAATAAAGATCCCTTCTATAAGAATATTGCAAGAATACATGTTTTAAACAGGACTAGCGAACCCCAGCTTCTCTTATGTCAGTGTTAACGGAGGAAGAGATGTTTATATTAGTAGTCGTGTACCAGACAGCTTGGAAGCAAGTTGGTTGTATGGTAGTCCTATGCCAACAAACAAACAATAAACATTTAAAAATGTTAGAAACTTCGAATTTCTGAGAGATCAGTTAAGTGACAGCAGAGATGTCCGCTCATACCAAATATAATATTAAATACAGATGAAATTAAAGCAGACCACACGCGTTGTTTCGTGTTTAGTGAGGTAAAATAATGAAGATTTTAAAAGATTAATATTATAAATTTGCTTTACGGTAAACATACGTGGGCATACTCGTATTTATATTAGCTTGGAATCCTTCACAGGAATGAGATTGAAAAGAAATTATAGGACAGAAAGTCGTAACATATAAATTCTGAAGAAATCAAAACGTCTTTATCACAAGCGAACAGGTCAGGATAATCTAATGGTAGACATACAAAACAAACTTGATAACAAGGGCAATTTTATTCATGAAATTAGACACCTACCTCCTCGCAACATGCTGGTTCTGGAGGTTGGTTATAAACTTCAAAATTATATACGGCTAGATTTATACATTCTGCCTGCTATCTCCACAGGTAGAAGAATCTAAACCGGGCAGACTATCAGTTCCTGGTGGCCACGCGACTCCTTCCACATCTAGGCAGCCCGACCCAGACCCAGACCCCTACCCCATCCCCATCCTACCGACTGCCATCCATTGCCCAGTAGACAAGATCCCAAATATGTATTGCCTTTGGTTTGGAACTAAAGATGAGTTAGCGGAACACTTGAGGGGTGCACACTCGCATCTTATGGTAAGTCGTAGCTTCGGATGCCGGGCTACTAGTACGACTATGGCACTAATACTCTACAAGGATGAAGTGTTCCTCTATTACAAGTTGATTACAGAAGATAGGAATTGGCACATTTTTTTACAGAAAGCTGGCATCACGCAGCAGCATTTTAATTACAGTATCACGCTTAGCACAGGTTTGCCAGTAAACGATAGCATCAGCACGTTTTCCGTGACTGATATTTCAGATAAGTTCGAATGTATTTACAGAAATGCTTTTAGTAGCACGCATTTTGCTATAGAACCTTACATATCAGGCAACGAAGTGAACATGACGGTAAAAATAGAAGCTCGCTCTTGGTATTAAAACCTTGTGCCCCTCTATCAGAACATCGGACTATCTACTGTATGGCAAGCGGAAGTAGAACCTTAAGTATTACAAAAATTCATTTTACTTCTAAGGCCTTTTTTATTTTACGTAAAAAATTACTGATGTAACAGGCCCGAATATAAGAACTGTATTGACGTCCAGAAATATTAACCAATGACTCAAATTGTTTTTTTGACAATGCAAATTAGTATTTTTAAATCATCGTAAAGTGTGTTTTAACTGAGAAATGACAATTAATTTTAAGTAAATTAAGAATCTGAATTTGATACGTAAACTTATTTTACGTGTCTGTAGACTACTTCAGAAACAGCACTTCCATATAAAATGTGTACAATACTGACAACAGGTAAAGAATCTTAAGTGCCAAAAATTGAGTTTGATTATTTTGTGCATTAGTGTGAACGCAGACCTGAATGTTAAGCTCAGTGTCTTGAGTGAAGTTAATCACACGAACCAGGACGAAAGCCTTAAAAATGTTGTTATATTCTTATTAGTAGTTTTTTTAAGATGTCATTAAATGTGTTTTTATTGAGATATGACATTTAGTATTAAGTAATAAGAAACCCAGGATATGTTAAACGTAATTCAATGAAAAATGTCACATCTGTTAGTAAGACCTTAAAATTTCCATATTCTGCAAAACTGCAAAATGTGTTTCAACTGAAGAACTCGCAATGTTAATTCAAATAAAGCGACGGTTTTGATTACTTTGGCTATTTTTATCTGTAAACTTAGTCATGGGCAATACTTTTGTATCGAAAGATGAAAAAGACAATTTATTAAATAAATGTGTTAAATAAGTTCAGAAACAGTTACTTGACATTTGTACAACATAAGAATACCTTATTTGTATGCACCTGCATTTGTCATTCCGTTCAAAATATTGTTATAATCCTTTGGCGTATCTCTTGTGCTGTATCTGTAATTGGCCTTCTGGCTGTTGATACAGCACTCTGACAACAAAGAATTTAAGAAAAACTCGATTGTTTAAAGCCATTATTAAGTAATAGCATAAACGAATATATCATATTGAATACTATTTGTAATAGTGTTAGTAAAGAGAACCATATTTGCGCCCTGGATGGCAGGTGTTCGTATAAATTTTCAGCTCTTGAAGGCTACTTTGAGGTGGACACAGCTCGCAAAATTTTGCATCTGCAGGTAACCATCGTTAAACCAACAGGACGGTCACTAAACATTACCATTGCAATATTACATCTGCAGTCAAATTTCGAATAATAAGTCGTCGTGTGTTGTCTTAATCCAAAGAGACGAAATTCCTACCTAAGGATCGCACATTGGGATAAAACCAAGATCTAGCATTTTTGCTTGGATTCTGTTAATAAAGATCCCTTCTATAAGAATATTGCAAGAATACATGTTTTAAACAGGACTAGCGAACCCCAGCTTCTCTTATGTCAGTGTTAACGGAGGAAGAGATGTTTATATTAGTAGTCGTGTACCAGACAGCTTGGAAGCAAGTTGGTTGTATGGTAGTCCTATGCCAACAAACAAACAATAAACATTTAAAAATGTTAGAAACTTCGAATTTCTGAGAGATCAGTTAAGTGACAGCAGAGATGTCCGCTCATACCAAATATAATATTAAATACAGATGAAATTAAAGCAGACCACACGCGTTGTTTCGTGTTTAGTGAGGTAAAATAATGAAGATTTTAAAAGATTAATATTATAAATTTGCTTTACGGTAAACATACGTGGGCATACTCGTATTTATATTAGCTTGGAATCCTTCACAGGAATGAGATTGAAAAGAAATTATAGGACAGAAAGTCGTAACATATAAATTCTGAAGAAATCAAAACGTCTTTATCACAAGCGAACAGGTCAGGATAATCTAATGGTAGACATACAAAACAAACTTGATAACAAGGGCAATTTTATTCATGAAATTAGACACCTACCTCCTCGCAACATGCTGGTTCTGGAGGTTGGTTATAAACTTCAAAATTATATACGGCTAGATTTATACATTCTGCCTGCTATCTCCACAGGTAGAAGAATCTAAACCGGGCAGACTATCAGTTCCTGGTGGCCACGCGACTCCTTCCACATCTAGGCAGCCCGACCCAGACCCAGACCCCTACCCCATCCCCATCCTACCGACTGCCATCCATTGCCCAGTAGACAAGATCCCAAATATGTATTGCCTTTGGTTTGGAACTAAAGATGAGTTAGCGGAACACTTGAGGGGTGCACACTCGCATCTTATGGTAAGTCGTAGCTTCGGATGCCGGGCTACTAGTACGACTATGGCACTAATACTCTACAAGGATGAAGTGTTCCTCTATTACAAGTTGATTACAGAAGATAGGAATTGGCACATTTTTTTACAGAAAGCTGGCATCACGCAGCAGCATTTTAATTACAGTATCACGCTTAGCACAGGTTTGCCAGTAAACGATAGCATCAGCACGTTTTCCGTGACTGATATTTCAGATAAGTTCGAATGTATTTACAGAAATGCTTTTAGTAGCACGCATTTTGCTATAGAACCTTACATATCAGGCAACGAAGTGAACATGACGGTAAAAATAGAAGCTCGCTCTTGGTATTAAAACCTTGTGCCCCTCTATCAGAACATCGGACTATCTACTGTATGGCAAGCGGAAGTAGAACCTTAAGTATTACAAAAATTCATTTTACTTCTAAGGCCTTTTTTATTTTACGTAAAAAATTACTGATGTAACAGGCCCGAATATAAGAACTGTATTGACGTCCAGAAATATTAACCAATGACTCAAATTGTTTTTTTGACAATGCAAATTAGTATTTTTAAATCATCGTAAAGTGTGTTTTAACTGAGAAATGACAATTAATTTTAAGTAAATTAAGAATCTGAATTTGATACGTAAACTTATTTTACGTGTCTGTAGACTACTTCAGAAACAGCACTTCCATATAAAATGTGTACAATACTGACAACAGGTAAAGAATCTTAAGTGCCAAAAATTGAGTTTGATTATTTTGTGCATTAGTGTGAACGCAGACCTGAATGTTAAGCTCAGTGTCTTGAGTGAAGTTAATCACACGAACCAGGACGAAAGCCTTAAAAATGTTGTTATATTCTTATTAGTAGTTTTTTTAAGATGTCATTAAATGTGTTTTTATTGAGATATGACATTTAGTATTAAGTAATAAGAAACCCAGGATATGTTAAACGTAATTCAATGAAAAATGTCACATCTGTTAGTAAGACCTTAAAATTTCCATATTCTGCAAAACTGCAAAATGTGTTTCAACTGAAGAACTCGCAATGTTAATTCAAATAAAGCGACGGTTTTGATTACTTTGGCTATTTTTATCTGTAAACTTAGTCATGGGCAATACTTTTGTATCGAAAGATGAAAAAGACAATTTATTAAATAAATGTGTTAAATAAGTTCAGAAACAGTTACTTGACATTTGTACAACATAAGAATACCTTATTTGTATGCACCTGCATTTGTCATTCCGTTCAAAATATTGTTATAATCCTTTGGCGTATCTCTTGTGCTGTATCTGTAATTGGCCTTCTGGCTGTTGATACAGCACTCTGACAACAAAGAATTTAAGAAAAACTCGATTGTTTAAAGCCATTATTAAGTAATAGCATAAACGAATATATCATATTGAATACTATTTGTAATAGTGTTAGTAAAGAGAACCATATTTGCGCCCTGGATGGCAGGTGTTCGTATAAATTTTCAGCTCTTGAAGGCTACTTTGAGGTGGACACAGCTCGCAAAATTTTGCATCTGCAGGTAACCATCGTTAAACCAACAGGACGGTCACTAAACATTACCATTGCAATATTACATCTGCAGTCAAATTTCGAATAATAAGTCGTCGTGTGTTGTCTTAATCCAAAGAGACGAAATTCCTACCTAAGGATCGCACATTGGGATAAAACCAAGATCTAGCATTTTTGCTTGGATTCTGTTAATAAAGATCCCTTCTATAAGAATATTGCAAGAATACATGTTTTAAACAGGACTAGCGAACCCCAGCTTCTCTTATGTCAGTGTTAACGGAGGAAGAGATGTTTATATTAGTAGTCGTGTACCAGACAGCTTGGAAGCAAGTTGGTTGTATGGTAGTCCTATGCCAACAAACAAACAATAAACATTTAAAAATGTTAGAAACTTCGAATTTCTGAGAGATCAGTTAAGTGACAGCAGAGATGTCCGCTCATACCAAATATAATATTAAATACAGATGAAATTAAAGCAGATCACACGCGTTGTTTCGTGTTTAGTGAGGTAAAATAATGAAGATTTTAAAAGATTAATATTATAAATTTGCTTTACGGTAAACATACGTGGGCATACTCGTATTTATATTAGCTTGGAATCCTTCACAGGAATGAGATTGAAAAGAAATTATAGGACAGAAAGTCGTAACATATAAATTCTGAAGAAATCAAAACGTCTTTATCACAAGCGAACAGGTCAGGATAATCTAATGGTAGACATACAAAACAAACTTGATAACAAGGGCAATTTTATTCATGAAATTAGACACCTACCTCCTCGCAACATGCTGGTTCTGGAGGTTGGTTATAAACTTCAAAATTATATACGGCTAGATTTATACATTCTGCCTGCTATCTCCACAGGTAGAAGAATCTAAACCGGGCAGACTATCAGTTCCTGGTGGCCACGCGACTCCTTCCACATCTAGGCAGCCCGACCCAGACCCAGACCCCTACCCCATCCCCATCCTACCGACTGCCATCCATTGCCCAGTAAACAAGATCCCAAATATGATTTGCCTTTGGTTTGGAACTAAAGATGAGTTAGCGGAACACTTGAGGGGTGCACACTCGCATCTTATGGTAAGTCGTAGCTTCGGATGCCGGGCTACTAGTACGACTATGGCACTAATACTCTACAAGGATGAAGTGTTCCTCTATTACAAGTTGATTACAGAAGATAGGAATTGGCACATATTTTTACAGAAAGCTGGTATCACGCAGCAGCATTTTAATTACAGTATCACGCTTAGCACAGGTTTGCCAGTAAACGATAGCATCAGCACGTTTTCCGTGACTGATATTTCAGATAAGTTCGAATGTATTTACAGAAATGCTTTTACATGCACGCATTTTGCTATAGAACCTTACATATCAGGCAACGAAGTGAACATGACGGTAACAATAGAAGCTAACTCTTGGGATTAAAACCTTGTGCCCCTCTATCAGAACATCGGACTATCTACTGTATGGCAACCGGAAGTTATTGAGGAACGTATGTAGTATATTTTGTAATAGGGTTTGTATAAATATCTCCATTCTTTTTATACATATGGCACGCTAACTCAATTATGGCGCTTTTACTGATAATTTTTCATCTTTCCGATGTTCACATAGAATTTTAGTTGCTAGACTAATCGAGAGGGGCGACCAAATTCACGTAAAAATATAGATTAGAGTATGCACTTTAAGATGAGGCCTGTTTCGTTTGCTAGTTTTTGCTAATGTGAGTGTCATGAATTTTTTTTCTCCAGAATTATAAGAAATATATCCGTTGTTGTGCAAAAGGAATACAGATTGTGATGAACTTTATGCTTATATTCTTAAAAGATTAGATATTGTTATTCTGAAAATAGAAACCGTTTATAAGAGTGATTTTGAAGAATCTGCGTAGCAATTTTAATAAAAAGTGGGTACAGTGTCACCGCAATAAGAATTTCTTTTTAGATAAGA